CAACTGTAGCTGCAAGGGAAGCTGAAAGTAAAGCTTTTGTGTGGACACAGTAATGCTCCAAGCAAATTTGGAGCTCTGTTTAGTAAGTGAGAGAGAATGGATATTGGGCTGGCAGCTGGCAGTGTCTGCCACTCCACTGTGAATTTAAAACGATAATTGCTGCTTTCAAAATATGTATCAGTGAAGCTCTACTGATTGCTGTACACATGTTAATTGATAGGAAATAATATCATCTCAATATTTCAGTTGAATGAACTAAGACAGAGGTTAAAAAGTTAACCAGGGAAGCCAGGGAAGAATCTTGCAGGGAGAATTTTCTAGATGTCTCCCTAGCTGCCTTTTGTGTGTGGGGTGGTCGGGGGGATCAACGGGGTGGGTGTGGAAGAGAGAGACATGAAGGGATGATTCTGGCTCTTTCCATAAAGTCTTCATTTTCAGTTCAGGGCTATAAGCACTGCAGATGGCCAGAGTGTGGGTGTGTACCAGTATCTCCATAGTCTTTTCTTACAGGCAGTAGATCATCTTTTAAATCATTTTTCCCCTTTTTTGCCAGAAATCCTTTCAATTAAGTGGAGGCTTCACTGGAATAGCCATCTCAAGTAGGCTCATCAATTAACTAGAGCTGCATTTATCTAACAGACTGTTGGCCCTTGTAGTTACAGAGCTTTTGCACTGAGAAAGCTCCTGGAGAGGAGATGTCTGTCCCGCAAAGACAGCTCATTCTAAAGGGTGCAGTGCTCTGGACTTGGAGTCTTCTTGATGTCATACAAGATTTAGTTTTTAGTTATTCGGTCAACAAATGCATGTGGAACATCTTCTAAGAGCCCCCATGCAGAGTTATCTGTCGGGGGAGCAGAGATGAGACAGACAGTCATGTGGCAAATAACTGAATGTGTCTGAGTCCACATCCTCTTCTGTGAAATGGGGCTGGTAGGAGCATCTGCCTCATGGGGGTGTTGTATTAAATGAGTCTCCCTCATGGAAGATTTAGCAGCGTGTCTGCACTTAGCAAATACCATGTACTTTTCCATAGGCAGCTATTGGAGGATATGTTCCAGCAAAGTGAGGGAATAATGCAATAAAGAGGAAGATATGGACTCAAGGAAACAAGGAATTGGATTGTTTAGATTAGATGCTTTGCTTACTAAATGCTAGTTGTGATCATTGCTAGTTTAATTAAGGTCACATGACATGCTGAATTGAATTCTACTCTGCTGGGCCCGCCCATTGTACACGCTGATTGTACCTCCTCCTCATAAAATAGAACCTATGTTGTCAAAAGTAACTGTGCCTATTAGGCAAAGTGACACCTGTGGAGTGAACTATCTGCAATAATTGTGAGGGATAGACTAGAGAAAGTGCAGAAAATGGGGATAATGGATTCTGTATACTTAAATCAATTTCCCTATTTATTTCCAACTACTACTGACTTTTTTTTTTCTTTTTGACATGTTTCTCTGTTTGTTTGAGCATACTTATGCCATGTGGCGCATACTTATGTCATGTGGAGTCTGGCAAGTACCGCAGGCTCGGATTGAAAAATGTCAGTTCCCAGCCTGGTCATCACCACCCCAGTCATGATCCCCAGAGGCGACCACTTCTAACTCTTCACTTACTTCCTTCTGCTACTTACCTCCTTCTTTCTAAGTGATATGTCTCATTGTTCCATCATTTTGCTGGAGCAGAGCTCCGCAAGCATCCTACGAGAGAGTACATCTGTTATGAGTTCTTTCCAAAAATAGTATTATTTTATTCTTTAATTTTGCATATAATAGTTCACCTAAAATCTAGGTTAAAAACTATTTCTGCCAAAAATGTGACAGGATTGCCTCATCAGCTCCCAGCTTCTAGCATTGTTAGTGAAAGATCTGTCTCCAAACTTATTGCCAGTTTTTACAGGTAACTTGATGTTTACTCTCAGGAACCTTTGAGGTTTTTCTCTCTTCCCTGATGGCTTGAGATTTCAGAGTCATAGTCTGAGAAGATTATTTCCCACTGATTGTACTGAGCACACAAAGGGCCCTTTAAATCTGAAGACTCGTGTTCTTAGCTTCATCTAATATTGTTTCTCTAAGAAGTTCATCCCTTAATTTTTATCATAATCCCAAAAGGTATATCAAAAAGGAAATATAACCTTTGTAAACTCTATGATTTCTAGTGATTGGATACTAGACTTTCTATACCCATCTTGCTCCTCTCCCCTTCATGGATTCCTTCTCTTTAACTTTTTTTTTAAGATTTATTTATTCATATAGAACTGGGGTACAGGCCAGAGATGCGGAGAGTGAGAGGATTCACCAGAGACAGAGCGGGGAGCAGAACAGGAAGAGCAATGAAGTACACTGCTGAGGGGAGCAGCAGGCGGGTCAGGAGAGGTCTGCCACGCCATGTGATCACCTCCTGGGCAGGCGGGGATCAAACTCATGTCGAAGGGGCTTAAGCTGCTTAGTGCAGTGCTTTAACCCACTGGGCCACCAGGGAGACCCCTCTCTTTAACTTTTTTTTTTTTTTTAAGATTTATTTATTTATTTGTGCATACAGAAATGGGGTACAGGCCAGAGGCTCAGGGGCGGTGAGAGGCTTCACCAGAGACAGAGTGGGGAGCAGAACAGGCAGATCTACGAAGTACACTGCTGAGGGGAGCAGCGGGCGGGTCAGGAGAGGTCTGGCTCGCCATGTGGTCTCCTCCGGGGCAGGCTGCAGGCGGGAATCGAACTCATGCGGAAGTGGCTTCAGATTCTCAGTACTGTGCTTTAACCCGCTGCGCCACCAGGGAGGGCCTCTCTTTAACTTTTTATGAACTTTTGGAGTCAATTCCTCAACATTCTTTTCCAAACTTCTATTGATTATAAAACTCTGCTACCTTATTTTAATTGCCCAGGACAATTCCTGTTCTTCAAGTGTTCTGTTTTATGCCTGTTCTTTGCTTATACTGTTTTATCACACTGTTCTGTGGCTATAGTGTCTTATCTCTTAATGGATTTTAATTATCAACTTGTTTTGGCAAAGTTTGTTATTCTCAGCATTGTCTGCTTCCTGCAGGGTCCTTGTATTTGTTTGCCTCTTCTGATCTCTTCCTTCAGTGGATTCTTTCCTCCAAGATCAGATGGACCTTGATCCTCTGTTTATCTTAAGAGAAGGCAACAAAAACGATATGTACAAGTCCATGGAGGGGCCTCGTGAAGGGAGGACAGGCACTGGCCGGGCTTGAATAACGCCAGTGGTGGGCACCTGCAGTACCGGGGCCAGACACTCCTTTTGGGGGAGAAAAGCAGCAGTTCTTCTTCACACTTAGCCAGTATCTGCTATCTTAGAGCTTCTTTTCAGTTCCGAATGAAGCTTGTTTGTTAAAGTGATATATATATATATTTTTTTTTTAAGATTTATTTATTTATTCATACAGAACTGGGGTACAGGCCAGAGATGCGGAGGGTGAGAGGATTCACCAGGGACAGAGTGGGGATGAAGTACACTGCTGAGGGGAGCAGTGGTGTGGGTCAGGAGAAGTCTGCGCGCCATGTGGTCACCTCCAGGGCAGGCGGGGATCTAACTCATGCGGAAGTGGCTTAAGCTTCTTAATGCAGTGCTTTAACCCGCTACGCCACCAGGGAGGGCCCTAAAATGATATTTTAAAGAGCTTTCACATGTTTGCTTTTTGGTTAGAGTCCCTTAGAAAGCAGATTTTTGAAGAGAGCCATCCCAGTAGTGGGGGTGGGGTGAGAATGTTGGGTCCAGGCCCTGCCTTCCATGCTGCTAGTGACGTGAGCTCTGGCCTCGCGCAGGCTAAACTTTCTTGACTATGAAGCAGTGCTGATGGGAGAGGTGATGTTTCGGTCAGGGAATGTTGTACTTGGAAGTTATCCTCCTGTTTTTGCCTCTCCTGTAATTATATCTTTCCTGTGATTAATTTTTGAAAAGTCTTTCCTTCTGATTATGAAAGAACACAGGTTTTCTCTTTTTTTTAAATGCAAGTACAGAAGAGTTTGTTTTTTTTTTCCTTTGCCCCTGCTGGCTGCAGCTGCTCCCCTACTCTAGCCCCCAGTGCTGGCGGTCCCCTCCAGCTGCAGAGTAGGAGATCCATGGGGAGGCCAAGGAGAGGGTGTCCTCCAGAGAAGCATTCCACAGCTACCTCTGGGGCCAGAGGCGCTGACAATTCACTCCAATCAGAGCTGACAGGGGCAGCTTCTGTCAGCCCTGGGAGATCTGGTGTCATCTGTGATTAATCCTCAAAGCCAAAACCAAGCAAGTTCCTGATTAAACAGTGGCATCCTGAGTGGAGCGATCGGTCATGGGACAGCGGCCTGAGCACCCACCACAGGGACCCCACTTTATGAGAACAGTGGTCAAGTCCCTGACCTTTCCCCCTCCCCACTGTTCCCCCTAAAACCCACAGCTACAGCTGGGCTCCTGGGTTGGCTGCACTGGGCACTATGATGGCCTTGTCAGTCACCGTAAGGAATGCCACCTTGGGGAAATTACAGATCATGTGCCCTGGCATGTCCTGGTCCACACTGGCAGCTGAGGACATAAATCACCGTGAAGGGTATTCTACTGGGCTCGGGAGTGTGGTTGGGTGCTTGTGACCTAGTGAATGAGTAGATGATTAGACTGTCTCCACTCACCAAGTGCTTCTATCAAAGACATCAAGATCTTCATGTTGGCCGGGGGTAGCCCCCAAGGCCAGCATCTGCCCTCTGTCCATTCCCAGAGCTCTCAGGACACACAGCCATCGCCTTCCAGGATGACCACAGCCTTAACCAAAAGCCCTTCTCCTCCAGCAGCTCCTGACCCCATGGGCACCGCATCGCTGCCCCCGGAGACTAGTGTGCCGTGGGATTTGCCACCCTTTTCTTCCAAGGCAGAGCATCGTTTTGCTGCTATAATGTTCTTTCTCCTTCTGACCTTCACCCTTCCACAAAGTCAGGTCCTCTTTCTCTCTACAGACCCCAGCCACTGCTGCTCCAGGTCCAGACAGAGACCTGCTCTGGGAAAGACCAGCCCCAGCCAGGAGGAGTAGAAGGCAGACCCCAGTATCCAGAGCGCAGCGGCGAGCCCTCGGGCACCAGCCACATGCCAGGTACCTCACAAACGGCGCTCCTCTATATCAAGCTGTTCGTAAAATGAGGCTTACCCCAGACTCGGCGGGGGGGGTGTGGCGTGGGGAGGGCAGTGCAGGCAACAGCCTGGAAGGGAGCGGGAGTGTGTGGAGAGTCTGAGCGAAGCCGACAGGGGCATGCCGGGCAGCCGGGCCTTGGGGTTACAGGAGGCGGCCCACCAGGGGTCAGGACAAAGATTTTGAACTTGATCACAACAGCAGCAGAGGCCACGTGATAGATGTTTTGAACGAGTGAAGGAGGGAGGTGGCCAGCAGGCCCTCGAGTTTGTCTGTGGGTGGATGAGCCTGGCTCTTTCGGAAGCTGGGACCTGCTTTGACCACCATCTGTAGGACAACTGATGTGGTCTAGGATGTGAGTCGACCTGGGAGCCACTCAGGGCTGGGCCAGCACTGACGCAGGCGGGCCAAGGGTGCGAGGAGGGAGCTATGTCATGAAAAGGCAGCACCTCCGCGTCTCCGAGGGCTTTCCTGGCACAATGTTTTCAAAGCAAAAGCTCCATTCCTCTGCCCAGCCCTGGACAGCAGCGCAGGGTCTCTCCCGGGCGTGGACCTGCATCAGAATGACTTACAATGCGGTGTTTGAGAAGTGTTTCACACACCCAAAATGGTGTGACACGGTCTTTTTCTTTCAAAGCTTATTACACTCTTCGTAGTTTTTTTTGCCCATGAACTTTTCAGATGTAAACGTAGACATGTGTGCTTTTACGTGTGCATATGTGTGTTTATGACAATAAACACGGCCCACGGCCCTCTCCTGGTGTCACCAACACCTCTTGGGTGTCCCTCCGAGTGCCAGCTGCCGGGCTTCCCTCCTGGGAGGGGACACCCTGGGGACAGTCATCATCCTTTGTCCCCCAGTGTAGTTCTGCTGTGAATCCACACCAGTGTGTTTTTGACACATGCAGACTGCCTCATGTTGCATATACTATCTGCACTTGACTTTTCTGCTCGCCATCACATCCCTGAAGTTGTGTATCTCCTCTCACGTCCCCGGCTGGAGGGCATGCCTTTGTTGAATACACAAATGAACTCTCCTCTCTACTGTGTCAGGACAAGGGTGTGATCTCCAGGTTTTGAATACACGATGCCATTGTTGAACATTCTTGTCCATGGCATATGGGGCATCATCTCCAGGGCTCCTAGGAGGGAAGAATGGGCCGGGTGGCAGCTAGCGGAATCCAATGGAGTGTACCTGCCACTAACACCTGCCTGGAGGCCACTCACTGCCCACTTCGCCTTCGACTGTCAAAGGAACTTAATGGGCCAGGTCGTGGCTACTCGCCACTCAGGTTTTATGGCTAATCTGTCACTCAGCTTCTTGCGTTGACCTCCCCATCTACACAGCAAATAATTTACTGAATGAAACTCCTAAAATCTTGACTCTAAAACTAGTAAAGGCAAGTATGTTCCCACCTGAGTGGGCATGCCGTCCTGGCTGCTGTCAGGGGTGTGTACCTCCCTGAGCCGCAGAGGGTCAGGAGTGTCTGTGAAGCAACTGTTGTCTGTGCAAAGTTTGCTGGGAGGAATGAGGCAGAATCCCCATTTTTAGTTACTTGAATCTGTGGTTGCTCTTAGTAGCAAACTGATATTTTTTTTTAATTCAGGTTTTTTGTACAATGTAGCAAAAGCCCTCTCAAAATAACTCCAATTAATGGGGAGCATTTTGAAGACCTAGAGCAAGGATCAGAGAGCACAGGATGGGCCCTAAAGTTATGTACCCCAAAAGCTGACTCCGGCCACTTCTCACCAGCCTCAGGTGTCCACTGTCCCCCTGCCTGCATCTTCTGGTCCCTCCACCTCCACCTCCATAACCGCCACTCCCTGCATCTCTGCTTTACTGTGGCAACTTAGCCTTCAGGCTGCTCTGCTGGCTGATTCCCCGTAACACATGGAGCCAACCTGCTGTCTCCTGACCCCCTATGAAACCCGGGGGAGGAATTGATGGCTGTAGCCCACCCTGTGGATTGCCCCCCAACCCTTGAGCAGGTCAGCTGGCTATGGCCAGAGGGTTTATTTGGTACAAACAAGACATCAAGGTTGTGCCAAATACTGGTTACGAGGGTATCTCCTGCCCGAGACCTCACTTTCATTTTTGTTAATTTTTTTCCCAACTATGCAGGTACTACTGTGACAAATGCTTGTTATAAATACTAAAATAGTATCGTTTTCAAGTTGTCCTTGATCACTAACCTCTGAACTCAGTCCTCTTTCTAGATATAATTGTAATCAAATGCTTTCAAATCTCTGCCCTTCTGCCTCTCCTATCCACCTTCCCTTCCCCTGCCAGCCTCATGTTTCCCAATGAAATGTTTTTCCTCCAAGATCAGAACAAGACACTAATGTCCACTCTTGCCACTTCTATCTAACATAGTGCTGGAGGTTCTAGCCAGGGCAATTAAACTAGAAAAAGAAATAAAAGACATCCATACTGAAAAGATAGAAGTAAAGCTAGCTGTAATTGTAAATGACATTCTTATATGTAGAAAATCATAAGAAATTCACTAACAAACTGTTAGGATGAATAAATTATTTCAGTAACATTTTGGAATGAAAAATCAATATATAAAAATCAATTGTATATCTATGTGCTAACAATGAACATTCCATAAATGAAATTAAGAAAAAGATTCACATTTACAATGTTACCAAAAAGAATAAAATGTTAGGAATAAATTTAGCAAAAGATGTTTGAGATTTTCACATTAAAAACTATAAAACATTGCAGAAAAAAATTAAAGATTAAATAAATGGAAAGACCCATACACATGGTTTATAACGTTTAATATGTCTTGATACTACCATGCTCCCAATTGTTCTGTATATTCAGTGTATTCACTATCAAAATCTCAGATACTTCTTTTCATGCAGATGTTGACATGTTGATCCTTAATACATATGGCATTTCAAGAAACCCTGAATAGCTGAAACAATCTTCCAGCTATTCAAGCAAAGTTGGAGTACTCAGACCAAAATTTTCTACAAATCTGCAATAATGAAAACAATACAGTGCTGGTATAAGAATGGACAGATGCCTGAATGAAATAGAATTGAGAACCCAGAAATAAGCATTTATTTTATGGCCAACTGATTTTGACAAAGGTGTCAAGAACATTCAATGACGGAGGAATTATCTTTTCAATAAACTGCTGAGACAACTGAATGTTTAAGAACATAGTTGGACCCTTATCTCACATCCACACAAAAAACAACTCAGGATGCATGATAGACCTAAATGTAAGAACTGAAAGTATAAAACTTTTAGAAACAAAATAGAAGTAAATCTAGATAACCTTGAGGTAGGCAATGGTTCTTTAGATACACATCAAAAAGCACAAAAGAAAACACAAATTGGATTAGTAAAATTTGAAATTTTTGTGCTGCAAATAATACCTTTAATGAAGTGAAAAGATAGCCAGCAGAGTGCAATAAAATATTTTTTTTTAAAGATTTATTTATTTGTGCATACAGAATTGGGGTGCAGGCCAGAGGCTCAGAGGCGGTGAGAGGGCTCACCAGAGACAGAGCGGGGAACAGAACAGGCAGATCGACGAAGTACACTGTTGAGGGGAGCATCGGGCGGGTCAGGAGAGGTCTGCCACGCCATGTGGTCTCCTCCGGGGTAGGCGGGAATCGAACTCATGCGGAAGTGGTTTCAGCTTCTTACTGCAGTGCTTTAACCCGCTGCGCCGCCAGGGAGGGCCGCAATAAAATATTTTTAACCCTACCCCTTACCAAGGACTTGTATCCAGAACACATAAAGAATTACTACAAGTCAATAATAAAGACAAACGGCCCAGTGTAAAAATGGTCAAAGGATTTGAAGAGACATTTCTCAGTATACAATAACCAATATGCACATGAAAAGGCATCCAAAATCATTAGTCACTTGGGAAATACCATGGCAAGGTACCACTTCCCCTCTACCCAGCACTCAAGTGACTACTATAAAAACAAATGGACAGTCACAAGTATTGACAAGGACACAGATTCATCAGAATCCTAATATATAGCTGTAATATAAAATAGTGTGACCACTTTAGGAAATTGTCTGGCACTACCTCAAAATGTATAACATGGAGTGTTATGTTAGGGCTCAGCAATTCCACTCCTCTATCTGTCCCAAACAGGTTATCTCCAATTTTACCCACCTCTACATACAGAAAAGTTAACGAACCTTCATAGCATGGTTCATATTAACCTCAAAATGGAAATAGCCCCAATATCCACCACTGGAAGGACAAACACAATTTTTTATACATAACAAGGAAAAAATTATTCACCAATGAAATGAAATGAGGTACTGACATACTACTGTACCATGGATGAACTTGAAGAAATGCTAAGTGAAAGAAACCAGTCACAAAAGACCACATGTTGTATGATTCTATATTTAAGAAATATCCAGAAAAGGCACATCTGTAGAGACAGAAAGCAGATTAGGATTTGCTTACACTGAGGGGCAGGTAATGGAGGGAAATGGGGAGTGACAAATTAAAGCCTATATAGTTTTCTGGGAGACGATGAAAACATGCTCAGATTAATTGTGGTGATAGTTGCACAATTCTGTGATTATACTAAAATCCACTGAATTGTATGCATTTAAAAAGTAAATGATACGGTATATGCATATTTAAAAAGCAAATCCAATCTATATGTATCGACCTAGATAAATTTCAAAAAATTAGAGCATAAAGAGCAAGTTGAAATAGGAGATGAGGGAGCATATAGTATATTTGTGTGAAATTATAAAATAAAAAACGATAGTACATAGTTTTTCAGAAAGACAAATTCTTAGTAAGATATAAAAAGCTGGAGAAAAAAGGATATACAATGACTGCAGAATTTTCCCTCCTATATTTTTTTAAGGTTTATGGCTTATCTGTCCATTGTTTACTATGTAAGCAAATATATATCTATATTCATATACATTAAATAAAAGGAAATGCCATCTATACTTTTTTTTTTAACTTAACAATATATTCTAGAGATCATTCCAAAGGAGTTTACAGAGCTTTTCCAGTGAGGCTCTTTTATTAACCTTGTTGGGATTTATGTCTAAAAGGAGGAGGGCCAGAGATGGATGACTACATGGAGACGCTGAAGGACGAGGAGGATGCCTTGTGGGAAAATGTGGAGTGCAACCGGCACATGCTGAGCCGCTACATCAACCCCGCCAAGCTCACCCCCTACCTGCGCCAGTGTAAGGTCATCGACGAGCAGGATGAAGATGAAGTGCTTAACGCTCCCATGCTGCCCTCCAAGATCAACCGGGCAGGTAACCTTGGGAGTCACTTTGCAGAAAGAGTAGGCTGCTTCTAGTGGCCACTTTAGGACATACGCTCCAGTTAACTGGACCCAAAGGAAGGTTCTCTGAGTCAGAAATTTTTAAACAGGGGTGGGCTCTCCTCTGCTCACTCCTTGGACCCCTTCACATTGTCCATATTTGGAGCTGAGAGGGTCCATGAATTTGGACAGGGCGGATACGACGTCTTTTGTTTTATTAACCTGAACTGAGATTTAACATTGCCTTCAGGTGGATGTAGGTAGGCAACAATTCAGTATAGATTAGTAATACCCATCACTTTGTCAACAGTGAAACTTACAGGTATCTTTAAATCATTATGGCTGCTCCAGAACCCTCAAAGTAGCATCTACAGTCATCTCTCCATTGAAATCACAGTAGCTACTAGACCTGATTTTCAAATGCATGGATAAAGAAGTACATGTATACTGAAGCACAAATTTAATATTTTATAACTTATATTTTGTTATAATTTAGTCCCTTTGTGATCTGATATATTCTCTATGTTTGCAACTATTATCCTGAGAAGGAGTCCATAGGGTTTTCCAGATGGCCTAGGGGGGTCTGTGACACTGTCACATACATGACAAGTAACAAGTACTATTTGTGAAACTTGTTTTGGTTTTGTATGTGTGTGTAAGTATGTAGGCAAACATATATATCTTTTTGAGTATTTGCCTTGGTGTGTGGATATGAGGTCACAACATAAAAATATATTTCCTTTGCGGCTCACAGCTTAAAAGGCTTGAAAATCACCAGCCCACCGTGTGGCTGGTGACAAGAGGCGTCTGTGCTAGGACTGTCCTTCGCACATGTCAGAGATCACTGAGCACAGCGGGTTTTCCTCCTGAGCTCGGACATAACTCTAGACTCCTTCTCGATGCAGTGGTCCCGGCAACATCGCCAAACAAGCTGTAGACACAAGATGAAGCTCATTATTGTGTATATCCTGGGGTAAAGGTAGTGCTTCAGAACAAGGGGGGAAATATCTGAAAACAAAATGCCCAAGGAAGGGCCAAGAAATGGAACCATAAGTAGAACCAGTAGGATAGAAACTGAGAACTGGGGAATGTAGGGTGTAACCAGCACGAGCTGAGAGGTTGCATCAGCCCAGCCAACCACACCCCTGATCACTTTAGATTGACCTTAATCATTTGAGGTTAATAATCTTTCCAGAACAGATAGATAATCCCAAGGGGAACATGGAGCTATGCCTCCTGTTATGACTGTTCCACCCAAATGTGCATCTTCTGGCCTGCAATCCCAGAAAGACATATATTTTCCGTAACTGCGATTGTACCGCCAACCTCCTTCAAACACAGGAGAGCTGATGCCTGTACAGTTAATCTTAGCACCGGTCAGTTGGGAAGCTCTTTGAACCTGTTGATTTCCTGTGGCTGCCATTCTACTTTGCTGGTTCTACCAATTTCTTAGAGAAAGAAAACTAACACCAACGAATCCCTGCTGAGGCCTGGCACTTTGATTTACATTATCTCAACTCCAAGAACCAACTCAGGTGTGACAGGATGCAGTGAGACTGTCTTTGAGGGGTTATTGAAGGATATGAGTACAGGAGAAGACTGAGCATAGACTCACATCCAACCCAGCATGTCTGCTTCTTCTCACTGAGTGGTTGGGGCCCTTTCCTTAGGTCGACTGTTGGACATTCTACACACGAAGGGGCAGAGAGGTTATGTGGTCTTCTTGGAGAGCCTGGAATTTTACTACCCAGAACTGTACAAACTGGTGACAGGGAAGGAACCCACCCGGAGGTTCTCCACCATTGTGGGTGAGTGGCTTTGCCAAAAGAGCATTCAGACTCTGGAGGGGTGCTGTGGGGGTGGGTATGTGGGCATATGTCCAGCAGTGAGACAGCACTAAAGCTGTGAATCTGAACTGAGTGCCCGCTTACTGCCCGATGATGAACGTTAGGTGACAGAGTGGAGAAGTTTGTGAAGATCGCTGTGAGCTCAGGCAGAGCGGCACAGACTCATCCCTGGGGGTCTTGTCCTTGCCTTGCCTTGTCCTCCCCGCTCTTGCCAGTGTCCCATGAGTCAGAGCCCTGGTCATCTTGTCTTAATTTTCCTTTGAAATATTCCTGCCTTTTCTTCATCTCCCCAGTCCAGACCCCTGCAGCTCGTCAACGCCACATCCATTCCTGCTCTGTTCCAGAGTTTTCTCCTCTTGCCCTGGCACCTTCCCCTGCTCTCAGTGGCTTTTCATTGCTTCCATCGGAACCCAAGACCTTAGCGTACCTGTGAAGACCTCGCCTGGCCCAGCCCCTGCCAGCCTCGCCAGCCTCGCCAGCCTCGCCTTTCTGCCTCTCCCGCTCTTTAGGCCCCAACACTTCAGTCTTCCTTCAGTTCCTGAAATGTGCCAGATTCCTCCCTCCTCCCTACAGAGCCTTGGCAGTGTTGCTCCACCTCCCAAGGATGTGTTTTCTGCTTCGTTTTAACATTTCAGCTCAAACCTCTGGGCCTTCTCCAACCGCACCCCTCCCACCCCACCGCTGCCGGACCTGGCCCCCTGCCTGGCCCCTACACTCTCTTATCCCCTCTACCTTCACCCTGTAAAATCCTCTCCACCTACTGTTTTATTCACATGAGATCATTGGCTTTTTTTAATGTCTATCTCCCTTACCAGACCTTAAACTCTGCCAGGGCCAAGGCTATTTTGCTCACCCTGAATCCCCAGTGCCTAACAGGTAGTAAGCGCTCAGTAAAATTTTAGTGAGTGAATGCATGAGTGCACTACTGACACCCCCCTCGTCTGGAGCCCCCTCCACCCCCTGCAGTTACCAGGCCTGACTGGGTGCCCCTCTCCACAGTGGAGGAGGGCCACGAGGGCCTCACTCACTTCCTGATGAACGAGGTCATCAAGCTGCAGCAGCAGATGAAGGCCAAGGACCTGCAGCGGTGCGAGCTGCTGGCCAAGTCCCGACAACTGGAAGATGAAAAGAAGCAGCTGACACTGACCAGGGTGGAGCTGCTGACCTTCCAAGAACGGTACTACAAGATGAAGGAGGAACGGGACAGCTACAATGACGAGCTGGTCAAGGTGAAGGATGATAACTACAATCTGGCCATGCGCTATGCCCAGCTCAGTGAGGAGAAGAACATGGCTGTCATGAGGAGCCGGGACCTACAGCTCGAGGTGAGGGGCTCACCGTTGGGCTACAGCCAGTGGGGGCAGGGGCAAGCCAAGGCCACTAGGGCTCCGATCACCTGCAGGATCAGGCAGATAAATGTATACAAGCCACCGGAGGTTCACCCCCAGAAAATTAGGGGAAATGGGGTGCCCAAGAGGTCTAGATTCCCCACACGTGTGTGCACAGACTCAGTGGGCCATCCCACCGCTGGCTCCAAGTCTACCGCATGTGCGTGCACCCGTGTACACAGGGACCCAGCGGGGCTTCCCTCTGCTCAGGAGCCAGGAGCTACCTAGCGTGGCCATGTGGACAGGCACACGCAGGCCCTGCACCCTGCGAGGGGGGAGGATGAGCACCAAAGAGACAGCACATGAGGTCCTTGAGGCCAGGACGCTGCCCTTCGTAGCCGTGCCCACAGAAGTCAGCGTGGCAAAGAGAGCCAGTCAGTGGGCTCACCAACGAACAACCCACCAGCTGGTGTTCGACATCGTTAACAAGTTTATCTCCAACATGAAGAAAAGGCAGGGAGTTTGCTGAACTATTGTAATCCTTTTATTTATTGAGTGCCACCATGCACCAGGCTGTCTTCCAGAGATACATAACTCACAGCCTAGGCCCTGCCTAGGCTGGTAGTAATAAGTGCTATTAAGGAGGAAAGAATGCGTAAGGAAAGTGAGGGACGCTATTTAAACAGGATAGTCAGGGACGGTCCCTGAGAAGTGGACCCTTGATCAGAGACCTGACAAAAGGAGGAGTCATGCAGGCCTGGGGGAGCACAAGGAGCAGATGGACGGGCCCCAAGTACGAGGCAGGCTTAGTGTTTTGGGAAACAGCAGGAGAGGCAGTGAGTGAGGGCTGGAGTGAAATGAGCCAGTGGCAGGAAAAGAAGGTGGCCAGGATCCAGATCATGGGGACGTGGTAAGAACCTCGGGATTTATTCTAGTTGTGATGGGAAGTCACTAGAGAAACGAGAGCTGGAGAGTGACAGCTGATTTATATCTCAAAGGATAACTCTGGCTTCCGGGTGGAAAACAAACTCTTGGAATATTTATTAAGCACCTGCCATGTACAAGGCACTGTGCTAAGCACTCTGGGGGACACAGGGATAAATAACCTGATTTCTGCTCAGGTCACTTGCTCTTAGTCTAAGCAGCCAGATCGGTAAACAGTTCACTAGTATTTGGGTGGATTGAGTGAGTGGCTTAGTGGACAGCAGAGCATTTCTGTAATGCCACGAGGCTTTTAAATCCTATAGGCCTGAGTTCAAACTGATTGTTGGCTTTGCCTCTTAGTTGGCTCTTGGTCTTGATTTTCTCATAAGTGGTAACAATGAAAATAAGGCCTACACCATAGCATTGCTGAGATACTTCCTCAGAGATCATTGGCCTGGTGGCCATCCCAGGGAGCACCCCACAGGCTAACAGCCCATGGCCACATGCCTGGGAACCAGGGAGCTGAACCCAGCACTGGACATAGGTTGGATTATCCAAGAAAGGGATTTTTTTTTTTTTATTGGCATGACCAAGAGAGGTTTCTGTGCTGTTTTGTCTAGGATTTGAGGGTGTTAATCTGTGGTGCAGAGATTTATTATTTTCTCTCCGAGAATTTTATACTGTATTATGTCTCCCTGGAGATATATCAACAAAAAGAAAATGTGTGTCTGGAACTTGAAAGAGCATCTGGCCAGCCGAGTCCTTGGGTCCTTTCTCATCCCCAGGCTTTTTGCCTCTTTATTCCTCCTTTCAAGACCATTGGGGTGCAGGCCTCTCCCTGTCTCTGCCCCCGACCTGCCAGATCTCCTGAAACCATCCTCCCCACGGGCCTAGAACTGAAAAAGGACACCCACATACTTGGTGCCTCCCTTTCTTGCTGCCCTGGAAAGCCTCCAGTTGGGGGTATTTTACCAAGACCAGCCAGGCTGGGGAAGCAGAGAGGCTTAGCAACAAATCAGATCCCTGACTTCCCGGCCATCTCTTCACTCCCGGCAATAACCACCTGCAGTAACAGGCGGGGTCTCCTGGGGATCCTTGAGTTCTGAGGATGAGTTTGAAGCCCATCATAAGGGGTATGAAATGGATCACCTGCTTCGGGGAAGTAGCGGTTTAGGAACCTTATCCTTGTGCACCCCACAAGTTTCCTAGGGCACATATAGCCTTTAGATTGATCCTCAACTGATGGGTCAGGACCTCGTCATCAACAAGGAAGTGGTGGTTTGTTTAACTGAAGATTTCTTGGAGTCCTTCTCTGTCCCCTACCGGAAGAAGGAGAGAGGGTTATGCTGGAAAGGTAGTGGGCTTGGACGACATTGTATCTTTCTGAGTGTGTCCTGCCAACCTCTCCCTCCCTTCGGCACTGTTGGGGTGTTATAGATTGATCAGCTAAAGCACCGGTTGAATAAGATGGAAGAGGAGTGCAAGCTGGAGAGGAACCAGTCGCTGAAACTGAAGAATGACATCGAGAATCGGCCCAAGAAGGAACAAGTTCTGGAACTGGAGCGGGAGAATGAGATGCTGAAGACCAAAATCCAGGAGCTGCAGTCTATCATACAGGTGAAGGCCTGGGAGATGGCGGGGGAGATGAGGGGTAAGGAGTCAGCCTGATGCCCAGGGCCCCCACTTTCTGACTGTAGGATCATGTCTTAGGGTGCCTTAGTTCCTTTCTGCCCAAAGAGAAGGTGACCACACCACCCACTTCTCAGAGAAAGTCCATGATATGAGCTCATACTTCTGTTCACACGTGGGGAAAATACATTCAGGAAAGTTACTTGCTCTTAAAGATTCCCAGAAACTCAACTTTCAATTCCTTGTGATTTATTAAAACTCTGCAGGCCTCCCCACATTTGTTAACACAGAAGCACCTGTGGGTATGCAGGAGAAAGTTGCTGAGGAAGAACACCCCAAGGTGCATGGGTGGGAAAAGATAAAAGCACCCTCCCCCTCCTCCAGAATTATCCGCTCTCCCAGGACTGGCAGCCGGGTCCTGAGCAGAGGATAAATCCCAGTCTAATCGGAGCAGATGAACTGATATTTCAGGGGAAGCATCTGGAAGGCAGATCGGTCCTCTTTGTTGTCACCAATGAAGTGGTTGGAAGAGCAGCAACTGCTTCTCTCAGTTCCGATAACAGCTAGGGAAGAACAATAGGCACCGGGTGTTCCTGAGCAGAAGTGGGTTTTATGCTTCTTTCCAGGTGATAAAATTCTTAAATAATAAGCTGCTTAAAGACCCCAGGAGACAGTGACTCCTGCCTCTGCCTCTGGCATAAATCAGTCTGCTCTCAGTGTGTGTTGCTAGCTCTTTTGTCCCCAACTTTCAGATCCACCTTGCTCCCTGCCCGGCCCCTTCCCCTGCTCAGTTAAAACTGCCCACCTGCCCCGCAGGCCGGGAAGCGCAGCCTACCTGACTCGGACAAGGCCATCCTGGACATCCTGGAGCATGACCGCAAGGAGGCCCTGGAGGACCGGCAGGAGCTCGTCAATAAGATCTACAACCTGCAGGAGGAGGTCCGCCAGGCGGAGGAGCTACGGGACAAGGTGGGAGCCCCCAGGTGAAGGAGCAGCTCCGCACCAGGGGGCCTGTGGGCTGAGCTACGTTGGTGGGACCCCGGCCCCACACTGTCCTAGGGAGTAGGCCTGACCCCTGGGTGAGTCCGCTCAGTGAGCCAGTGTCAGCACCCCGGCCCCACACTTTACTAGGGAGTAGGTCTGACCCCTGGATGAGCCCGCTAGGCGAGCCAGCACCAGCACCCCGGCCCCACACTTTACTAGGGAGTAGGTTTGACCCCTGGGTGAGTCCGCTCAGTGAGCCAGTGTCAGCACCCCGGCCCCACACTTTACTAGGGAGTAGGTGTGACCCCTGGGTGAGCCCGCTCGGTGAGCCAGTGTCAGCACCCCGGCCCCACACTTTACTAGGGAGTAGGTCTGACCCCTGGGTGAGCCCATTAGGCAAGCCAGCACCAGCACCCCGGCCCCACACTGTCCTCGGGAGTAGGTCTGACCCCTGGGTGAGCCCGCTAGGCGAGCCAGAACCAGCACCCGTGTAGGTATGTATGAACCACTGTGAGTGTCAGCTTAGCGCCGGTCTCCCTCCGGGCTCAAGGCCACAGGAGGACATGTGTGGCACCACACTGCCGCCCCCACCGCACCCACGACACACAGCCATCTCGCAGCAATCTCAGTCCATAAACTGCCCTACTACTGTGAGTCCTTCGAGTCTGCCCCTGAGGGGCACAGGTAATGTAGGGAGGGACAAGCCAGGCCCAGCCAGTCAGCTGTGCCACGCTGGTGGCTTGGCGCATACTGGTTTCTGCCTCCGCTCACAGTACCTGGAGGAGAAGGAGGATCTGGAGCTGAAGTGCTCGACCCTGGGGAAGGACTGTGAGATGTACAAGCACCGCATGAACACGGTCATGCTGCAGCTGGACGAGGTGGAACGCGAGCGGGACCAGGTACGGGCGCCGGGGGCAGCTGACACTGGGGCACCCCCGCACTGCACTGCTGGCCCACGCCCAGGACAGGCAGGTCAGTCAGGACGTTGCTGCCAGAGCCATGTCATTAACTCTGTAGGAACTACTTTCCTATGTCCATTCCAAAGATGAACGCCATCCCAAAAAGAATTTCAGAATTGTGAATTTCAGAATTCACAGGCATCTGAGTGTCACGGGGGCCTGAGCTGAACTCCAGTGGCTCCTACAACACCACGTGGTCTTTAAAGGTCTGCTCTCCAGGGTAAGATGGCCAGTGCAGGCCCTGTCATTCACCAGACGCCTTGCCGCCATGCCTGGAAGCCCCACCTGTAAGTGGGAATAATGATGGCAAGGCCGCCTCACAGGTGCAGGGAGTGGGTTCCCGGAGAGTCTGCACCAGTGCTCTCAGGACAGAGCCTGGCATATCCCAAGGGAAGGTAGTGACACCCCCACCCCCAAGCCCAAAGGCTGGGGAGTGCTGTGGCTGCCACCTGCCTGGCAGCAGGAGACCACACTTGTCCCCGGATGTTGAGGTTTGGCCAGGTGAAGCACCAGAGTCCTCCCTGTCCCCGGCAGGCCTTCCACTCCCGAGACGAAGCGCAGACCCAGTACTCACAGTGCCTCATAGAAAAGGACAAGTACCGTAAGCAGATCCGCGAGCTGGAGGAGAAGAATGATGAGATGCGGATCGAGATGGTGCGGCGGGAAGCCTGCATCGTCAACCTGGAAAGCAAGCTCAGGCGCCTCTCCAGGGACAACGGCAGCCTGGACCAGGTGGGCATGGGCAGCACCCACCCCCCACCCCGCTCCTGCAGCCAGGTGTCTCCCCACCCTGCTGACCGGCTCACTGCTGTGCCTCGTGGCGGGTCTCCAGCCAGAAAGAAGCACACCATTTCTTAGCCCTCCCGGAATAACCCAAGGCCTGCAGCTTTCCGTGCGCCAGTGACATGATGAGTGCAGCCACTCATCTCGAATCTGGAAGATACAGACCAGATGCCTGCCCTGGCTACTTGCCCACGCAGTCCTCCCAAGGGTCACTTCACCAAGTAGCTTCTGCTCCCTTTCACGGCCGGGCACTGGCCTTCCCCAGGCTCCCATAAACCCACACAGTAGTCCCTGGGTTTCAGGTGCCTCTTTCCACCGTCCTCACAGTGCCTAGGAGGAGACACATTCGTGAGCAGGGTGGAGTGCAGCGTGTGTTCAGAAATGAGCGGCTGCCACTGTGCCTTAGAGCAGAGGGCTCCTGTGTTTGCGTGCAGGTCTGAGCACTCTAAGTCCAGGAGCATGACCTCCTGGCCCAGTGTGGTAAACTATAAGAATCAAGGGTGCTGGGGGAGCCCAGAGGAGCCCTGTGTCCCCCGTCGGGTTTCAGGAAAGACTTCCTGCAGGAGCAGTTCCTCTGGCCTTGGACTTCCCCCTGGAATGCGAATGCCGCCCTGACTTCACCTGGCCAAATCTGCCCACTGTCTGGTCCCGGCTAACATATCCCTTACTGGGCTAGGCCTCCACAAGTCCCCCGAATAAAAACCCCATGTGTTACTCTCCCTTCAACAGATTTTACTGATACTACATGAGGACCCCTCAGTTTGTCCAAGGGCCTTAGCGGGGTGTCAGGTACAGGGTAGAACCTCAGGGAGCAGCTGCCAAATACATGAAGGAAAACTGTGATAGCCTCTGACTAGGTGAGGATCCTGATATTCCAGGCTGGGGGGCCAGTGGGTGACCGTTGCATGGTGTGCTTTGGCCAGACTGGAGAGTAGGAGGTAGACACAGCCGGAGACGTGGCCGAAGTGGGTGGCAGGCTGAGTGGGTTTACAGGTTAAGGGCCCATTGTTATTCTGGGATTTCCAAGGATTTTGTTGAGGTCAATAAGAAAAAAAGCTTTGGGCTTGGAGGTAATGTGGCACAAGGGTGTTGTGTGGCTCAAGCACGATCAACAGAAATTACTTAAAGCTCCTGCACCTCCGCTTTAGACAGTATTATATTCAAACAATAGAAAGCAGTTAGGACAGTATCTGGCAGAGCTTTGTCCATGTCCAGTGACTCAGCAATTTTTATCTTATATCTGCAGCTTAGGCACAGGCTGGAAACTGAGGGTGTGATGGTGGTACATCTGCTCTGAAGGCTGAGGCCTGCTAGGAGTAACCCCTTTGCTATTTACCATGGAAGAAGACAAGTGCCTGCGCTGTTCTCAGCAGGAGGGCAGGAGGTGGTGTGGGAGGCTGCAGGAGCAGAGCTGAGCTAGGATATAAGCCTTGGGATCTGGGTGCACACCAGTCGTGAAAGAAAACCAGCCGTCCGGAGTTTCAGGCATGGTGGCTGAGAGGTCGCTAGCACCGTGAGCCGAGCCTTTGGTGACTGGTGGCCTTCCTCATGTCCCGACTTCTCTGTGTCTCCAGAGTCTCCCCAGGAACCTGCCAGTGACCATCATCTCTCAGAATTTCGGGGATGCCAGCCCCAGGACCAATGGTCGGGAAGCTGATGATTCATCCACCTCAGAGGAGTCCCCGGAAGACAACAGATACTTCCCACCCTACCACCCGCCCAAGCGCAGGATGAATCTGAAAGGCATCCAGGTGCTTGCCAAGCCGGGGTGCCATTGTCAGGCCTTAGGGCAGGGGAGGAGATCAGGAGCCCCTTCGTGCAGGTGGGGATGCAGCACTGCCACACGAGGCCCTGGCACATCCTTGACTCATTCCAGCCCTATCGACAGAGAGCCCGCTAGTTCAGGTTGTGTGTGTGTGTGTGTGTGTGTGTGTGTGTTGACCAGTTCTCCCATCTCTTATCAATGCAAGAGATGTGTAAAAGAGAGAGTGAGGTTGAATGAAATAAGCATAATTTCCAAATTCATTTGTGTATTCAACATCCTAAGTCTGGAGCACCTAGCACATGCTTATTAATATTAATTGCTGTGCTAGCACCATTCTGGGAGCTGGAGTTGCAGCAGGAAGCCCATCTGCAGGGCTCAGTAGCCAGTGGAGTCCAGGGCACCCTGCTGACGCTCCATGAGGAGCACGTGAGTGAGCGGAGCCATCTTCAATGAGAAGGGCGCAAGCACCGAGGCCTGACCACCTCCCACCCCTCTGCCCTGCCTGAACGTAGCAGCTGGAAGGCCAGGCAAGCCCCAGGCCCTTGGGAAATCTCTAGCAGCTAGTGATGAGAGTGGCCAGGCAGCTACTTCGTCCTTCCCTGAAACCCCCTGCTTCACATCCCAGGTTGTGCTCAGCCTAGTCACACTCCTCCACACACCTCCTTCCTCTCGGTTCTCGCCTTGCCTGAGCCACACTGCACTGTGTGCCCCAGGGGAGGCTGGTCTGCACGGCCTCGGCCCCAGATGGACAGCCCGTGCCTGCACAAGCCCAGAGACTCCGACTCAGGCTGCCGCGTGACGAGGGGCAGCCTAGGCACACCTCAATTTATTTTTTTCCTTAGCTCCGGTGACATGTGTCTGGGGCCTTGTTTGATTTGTGTCCTCTGTCTTTTTTCCCCTCCTCCCCTCTCTTTCAGCTGCAGAGAGCCAAATCCCCCATCAGCCTGAAGCAAGCATCAGGTTCTCAAGGTTAGTGAGACGCCCAGATCCCTCTCCTGTCTGTCACTCTGACTCTCTGGGTCCATCTGTTTCTCCCGTTGCAGCCATCCATCCTACGAGGTTTACATGGGACAGACCTGGGGGGCGTCATGGCGGTGGGGTGTCCAGATAATAATTAATGTTCATTGTCATGTCCAACTCAGGAGTGTCACCTCTGCTCCTCCCTGTGGATCTGACAGGGACTATTTCAGCTGAACTTTGCTGGAGAGCTGTGCCACCCTCCTCCCACACCTTTGGTCAGGCTGCCTCTAGGCTAGAAGGCTTCCAGTTCACCCAAAAGTCCCTGGCTCCCCAAGACATACTGTCTCCAGAATTGCTGTTATTTGTCCTTGCCTCAACCCTGAGAGTAATAAGGGTTTGCCCACGTGAACCAAGTGCCAATGCCACCAGTGCATGGAAGCACTTGCAGAGCCCAGGCCATGAGTTAAAAAGTGGCTTTGGAAACCCAGGTGAGAGGTCAGAGGAAGGTCACAGAAAGTTCTGCCAAGAAGGGAATGTTTAGACTGGGCTTGGAGAAGGGAGGATTCGGGCCAAGGGTCGTGATCTCCAGAAGAGCACCCCAGGCAGGGCCAGAGCAGAGCCAGGGTCAGGAGCCCGGCACTCTGCCCTTCTTGGGTGACTTCGTCTCTCCAAGGGGATAGGAGTGGGAGAGGGGCTGTCCAGATCTCGTTGTGGGTATTCCTTTAGACTCTGGTAGGCAGAGGAGGGGGACAGAGAAGATGATAAGTGTCACTCCTGACAGGTGTGCCCTCCCAGCTCCCAGTGTCCAGAGAGTGGGGCCCCCTAGCCAAGTCACAGAGACCCATGACATGGCCTGCCCAAAGCCCTGGCCCTGGCTCTGCCAGGGACACGCTGGGGAGCAAGACTAGGTGCTCCCCACCTTTAGGAGAAATTGCAGGCTGTCACCCGGAGAGGACAACCCCCAAGTGCCCACAGCCGCAGGGCCCTCAGATCCCTTCTCCTTCCCCCTGTTCTCTCTCGCCACCCGCCAACACCCCTCTCTGCCGCTCCTGCCGACAGAAAGGGGCCATGAGGAAGAAGGCACGGGCAGCAGCCCCAGCTCCTCCAGATCCCTGCCCATCACCAACTCATTCTCCAAGATGGTAAGTCACAGTTGCCCCCACCACTCCTCCATCCAGCTCAGAACCTGAGCCAGGGCCCCCCACTCTGTCTGCCCAGCACCCCTCTCTCCTGCCTACTTGGGACCTGCGAAGTCTCTCTGTTCAGGAGGTGGCTGCAGCCCAGGTCCTGCTTATGTTTATTTAAAGATGTTTCCACGGCTTCATGATGTATTTACACCTTCTTGCCGCCTCCTTTCCCAATTTAACACTTGGTGGGAGGAAGAGATGGGCCTCCGAGGGGCTGTAGCGAATTGCACAGGCGGCTGAAAATTCTGCTGCAGCGTCTCAGCCCCTGGCATCTCCGGCAGCCTGGGGAGGCCACGGCAGGTGGATGCAGGCTGTGAGCAGCTAAAGTCTCAAAAGCCCCAGAGCAAAAGCTCAACGATCCCTCCCCCAGCCCAGTGTCCCCCACACTTCTGCTTCAGCCCACCTGGGCCACACCTGACAAGAGACCCAACCACCAGATCTCTGCCGCTCCCCCCACCCAGCAGCAGAGGGCCTGGGATTAAAAATTCTAACCCCCGGGGGATGCTCTGGGAAGCTTGTCAGCTCTGCTTCCAAAATCAGGCCCTGGGGGAGGCAGAGATTTGATAATGAATGATTCCTGTCTGAGTGTGGCTCTGGGGGTGTGAATCCAAGGCTCTTACTTAAGGCCTCCTTTTAATGGGTCACCCTCCAGCAGCCATGCTGCTGGGGAAGACATCCTTTGCCATCGCCGCCACCAGGTCTCCAGGACCACATGGCAGCCAGGGGCTCAAGGCCAACACAGGTCTGGGGCCACGGAGCTCAGCTTGGGCTGGGTAAGGGACCGGTTCAGCTCCCGGGCCCCCGCCATTCCTGCCTGCACCCTCCCTGCCCCTCCAGAGGCAGCGAGCAGGTGTTCAAGCAGATGTGCACCAGACTACGGTGCAGCCGCTACGGGCGGAGCACCAGCGTTCTCTGGCCAAGGCCAGCTTGCTGCACCCACACCGCCTGTGTCAGAGGTCTTAAATTTGGCCCCAGAATATATAATGTTTCTGAGCGCGGAGGCACAGGTATGTAGACAGCCAGCACCTGTGACCCATCTGGGTGTGTGTTTGCAGCAGCCACATCGGAGCCGCTCCAGCATTATATCCATCATGGCTGAGCCCCCAGGGAATGACTCCATCGTCAGACGCTACAAGGAAGATGCCCCCCATCGCAGGTGAGGGACAGGTGACAAGCGGGAGGAGGCGACGCCTCTACCACGTGCTTGTGCAGACCTCTGCAACCCTGAAGCAACTGGGATAGGATGGTGGTGCCCATTTCACAGGTGGGCGACTGGGGCTCAGGGCGGGCTATGGCTGCCCCAGGGTCACCCGGTAGGTATCAAATGATGAAAACTGTGATGCTCCCAAATCAGTTTCTTCCATCCCTGGGCACAGGGCTTGGCTTTTTCTGCAAAAGAGAGAGAGGGCCCATGAATGGTCTCCCCAAACCTGCTTTCCCTCCCCACTCCCACCTCTTGGAAATCATCATTGACCCAACAAAGAAAATGCCTGGGCATCTAGATGTTTCCAGTCAGCCAGGTATTTAGCACATCCCTTCAAAGTCAGAGATGATTGCGTGGTTTCCGTGAGGACCCAGAGCGAGGCGCTGGCGGGCTCCACCTCTCTGGCCCTGCAGAGCCTGGTCTGGGCATCTCGTTCACCAACCTGGGGACGTGTCCCAGGCAGCTTTCTCAAACCACGTGTGGCAGCTGCTCCGAGGCGGCATCCCCCTCATTGCTCTGGTGAGAACCACACATGGGCAACTTAGAGCTCTCAGAACACAGTGATGCCGCGCCCCATCCAGTCTTCTGAAGGGGTGCTCAGCTGTGTACTGCCCATTGAACACTTCAGGATCCATCCAAGTAGAAGTGGATATTAACTATCTGTCAAAGAAGAAGAGCGAGTAGGAAGTAGAAGATGGAGCTGTCAGCAACCCTTCCTTAAGCCCCCGCACGTAGCTAATGCATCCTCCCAAGCCTGCCAGGTCACCCCACTCTCCAAGTAGAGGGCCCATCTTCCATTAGCCCCTTGCCCTTGACCCACCTGCTGACTTTCCTGTCAGCACCCCTCCTGCCCAGAAACAAGGTGTTCCAGAAGCTAGAACATTCCAGAAGCTTGCCCTCCCTTGACCACCCGCACACTCATGAGATCTCCCACACACACTTGTGCTCCCTCCGTGCCTCCCTTGTGTCTTGCAGCACAGTTGAAGAAGACAATGAGAGTGGCGGATTCGATGCCTTAGACCTCGATGGTAGGTACCCTGAAGATCTGAGTGGTGTTACAAGTATGGCAGGTGCCTGCCATCCAGCAGGAGCAAGGCCACATCTCACACAACCAGACACCCCACCCCCAGGTGGATGGAGCCTGGCACGCAGTCAGCCCTCAGCAACCATGTGCAGTGGATTTGGAAAGTGCTGCGTGTGTACATGGACGTAAAGTCTCTCCCGAAGCACTCTGAAGAGTGTGTCCTTTGTAGGCAGGAGGGATCATCCAGCTGCTGAGTGGGGAGTCAGGCCTGCGTTTTGAAACAATGGCGCTCATGATCTTAGTCAAGTGCTGTGGAAGTCCTTGCTTGTGTCCCTGATCCAATTTAATCAACTCTCAAAACTCCTTTCAGAAATGCTATTCCTGTTTTCAATTTGCAGATGGAGACCCTGGAGTCTTAGTGAGATTAAGGAACGGTAGTCCGGAGCAGGGACTAGAAGCAGGGACACTCTTAAGAAATTCATGGATTAAGCTGTAAACCAACCTGAACCTCACTCGAGTGCTGGGAATGAGGGGGGAGCCTGGTCGAGGGGGTGGCGATTAAGGTTTTTCTTCATGCCCTGCAATTTGAGGTGTGGTCAGGCCTGCACTAGGGAGCCAGGAATTAGTAGCCAGAGCTGGGATTGTGGAGGAGGATATCCCCTTGGCCCAGAACATGCAGAGAGCCAGAACTGAATGCTCAGCTCCAGAGAGAGAGCATGTGTGGATGCCAGCCACTGCCCCTTGCAGCTCAGAAGCTAGGTTCAGCCCAGCATATGGCAAGATCCCACAAATGCCAGGCCTTATGCTGGTACATAGGACTCAAAGATTCTGTCCCCAGATCCTTGCCTTGGCAGAGACCATGGGTCAGTGGTGAAGACCAGTTGGGATGTGCAGATCTGGGGGGGGGGGGAGCATCTGATGGGGTGAACAGAAGAGGGGACGGAAAGGACTCGGGTTCCTCTTGAAATGTGGCAGTGTCCTCTGGCCCCTACAGAGCCAGCAGCACAGAAACTGATTCAGAATCCCCTGGGTGTGGCTGCCAGCCCCCTGGTTCCAGGGTCCCCCCCACCCAGCCTCCGCCCCTGGCCAGCTCAGACTGCCAGTGGAGAAAATGAAAGATTAGTGACTTTCCTTAATTGGGGACCATCAGAAGCTATCAAGTGTTAAAGAGAGGTTAGCACCTAATAGAGGTTAGGTAATGAGAAGAATTGAAAGAGTTTTGGAAAGAGGAGAGCCGGGAAGAGAATTCTGGGCAGCAGTCCAAAGCATTTTGCAGTGTCGGATAAATTCCCTGTGCAGAACAGCCTTTGTTATCAGCCTGGAGCAGGGTTTGTAGGTCCTGCAGCCCAGCTGCCTGCGCCATGTGGAACGGGCATCTCCCCCAGGGGCTTTGGGGTCCCACCAAGTTGGGGTGAGAGAGAGCATCTGTGTTGTCCACATTCTGCTCTTCCTGCTTGTCCCTGCCCGTTGCAGAGAAGACCATGACCACTAGTGGCCTGGGCTCGAAGGTGGCCCCAGGATGAAAACACAGAGACACAATCCCAAGACAGAACGAGCGACCGCTAATGGAGACCCCTGACCTTAGCCAATTCCCAACACACAGAAAGGGGATTTTTCAGTCCAGGCTGCTGGCCACAGCTGCTCCTAAGAGGAGACCCTTAGGAGCAGGGAAGTGCAGATGCTCCCCGCCCTGGGGGCCTCGGAGATCAGCGACTCTGATGCAGTCACACCGTTTGCTGGCGCTTCTCCAAGCCTTTCTCCCCAAGGGGAGCACTTCTGGGGAGGCAGACAAGGAGGAGCAGGGGTCAGAGGGCTGACCTCCTTCCGTTGGCCACCCAGGACGTCCAGGGCCCTTTCCTTTGCAGATGACAGCCACGAGCGCTACTCCTTTGGACCTCCGTCCATCCACTCTTCCTCCTCCTCCCACCAGTCTGAGGGCCTGGACGCCTATGACCTGGAGCAGGTCAACCTCATGTTTAGGAAGTTCTCTCTAGAAAGGTACCATGGTCGTGTGGGAGGGGAAAGCGGAAGTGAAGGGCAGGGACAGTGTAAAAGCCATTCACCCCTAGAGCCTACAGAGGGGACAGTCCATGACACCCCACAGCCTCTGAAAATCAGAGTCATAGCATCACTTCCCCTGACCCCAAAACAGGTCCAGAAAGGAAAGGGCTTACCTGGGGCCACACAGCATGTGGAAGCAAGGAAGTGGGCCCCCAGGTCCCCTGTGACCCCAAAATCGGTGGGCTGCACCACTGGGGTGGGAGAGAGCAGAGTAACTCACCAAGGAGCAGGTGGGCGGGATTTGAGTGGTCAGGCGGGGGGGCCCCTGGCATCCGGTGACAGCAGGAGGCTCTGCCACCCAGACCCCTTCCCCCTGGCGTGTCCTGGTAGACCTGCCCTGAATGGAGCTGCCTAACCACTGCTTTCTTCCCCAATCCAGACCCTTCCGCCCATCTGTCACGTCCGTGGGGCACGTGCGGGGTCCCGGGCCCTTGGTGCAGCATGTCATACTGAGCGGCGACAGCCTCACCTCCCAGTTCAGCCTTCTGGGAGGCAACGCAAGCGGGAGTTTCATCCACTCGGTCAAGCCGGGCTCGCTGGCCGAGAAGGCCGGCCTCCGGGAGGGCTACCAGCTGCTGCTGGTGAGAGGCTGGGGCTGGGGGAGGCGGCAGCCAGCGTGCCCAAGGCTTTTCCTCTTTCCTCTACATCTGCTGACCCCGTGACCCTACACCTTGCCTCCGGCTAGCAACTCCAGCCAGGAGTCACAAGCTGGACAGTGGCCTGGCCCTCAGCCGCTCGCCAGTCCCACGCTGGCCTCCTCCCCTCCTCCTCGCTGTTTCTAGAGTCTGCAGGCATGGAGCTGCCTAACTCCTTTCTCCCTCTACCCAGACGCTTCCACCCATCTGTCACATCTGCGGGGCGCTGGGGGGCCGTGCAGCTGAGCACAGCTCCAGGTGGCCATGGAGGCAGGCGTGCTCGGTGCAGTGGGAGGCTGTCTGCCCTCTGGGCGCGCCGAGCTGCCGCGGCTGGGGCAGGGACGTTCTTATGCCCTAGTGGAACAGGCTCACCCTGCAGCTCTGCGGCCTGTGGAGTCTGAGAACAATGTGTCTTTGATATCTAGCTAGAAGGCTGCATCAAAGGCGAGAGGCAGAGCGTCCCCTTGGATGCGTGCACGAAAGAGGAGGCCCACTGGACCATCCAGAGGTGCAGCGGCCCCATCACACTGCACTACAAGGTCAATCATGAAGGTGAGACCGCCAGACTCACCAGCCCTTGGCCAAGGCCAGCCGCCAGGGGCAGGGCCCAGGACAGGTCTTCCCCACCTCGCTCCCGTGTTCAGTCCTGGCCCTGTGGGTGGATGTCACATCAGGTATGGGGCAGCAGTAGGGAAAGGCAAGGAAACAAGCCCACTCCCGGGGCTGCCCAGCCACAGCGGACTGCCGTGTCCAGAGGAGGAGGCAGGGCCCCACGCGATGCCCACAGCCCTGCCCAGTCCGCTCACCCTTCTCCCTGCCAGATGGAAGTTTGCTGCTTCTCTCGGGCTTCCAGGCCCCAGCAGCGTGACTGTGGCTCCGGGGTGGCCGCTCTGACACGGTGCCCCCCCAGCCAGATCACAGGCCCTTGCAATGTGGGCTCAGCTTCCACACAGCCAGGCCTCACCCTCCCTGCCTGTCTGCCCCCAGCAAAGGCATCCTTCTGCCTCCCCTTGCTGGGCCAGGACTCCTGGGCAGTGAGCACCGAGCTTGCACTTGCATTTCCTAAAGTCTGAGTTCTCATTCTCACCCCTAGGTTTCTTCCTGCCTGTTCCTCTCCGCAGCTGGATCTTATTTTTAACCACCAGGGCTCATGAATGTTTCAACAGAGCATAAATAGCCACTTTCTCTCTAGTCGCTCCCCACTGCCGCTTGCTCGCCCGCACTCCTTCCGGCGAGCCTGGTCGGTGCAGATGATAAAGATGCTCTGTCCCTAAACACAGGACCCAGCCTCCTGCTCGCGGGCAGGCCCCTCCTCTCATCCAGGCCTGGCTTTTCAGCCCAGCAGAAACCCTTGGGCAGTGCCCTGCCCGCCAGCCAGCAGCACCCAGAACACAGCATGCACATGACCCCCTCTCCCCGCAAGTTGTGGGGCTGCATGCCTGCAGCATGGCACATGATGGGAGCAGGTTCCTCACCCCAGTGCAGTCAGCAGGGCCCTGGCTTCCATGGCAGAGCGTGGAGCAGTCACGGCTGTCTCCCATCAGACACACCAGTGCACAGACCATTGGGGCCCTGGATAGAAAGCAAAGCTGGACGCCAGCCGTTACCCTTCCCGGTAGCCACAGAGGGCCCAGGGGAGAGTACCCAGATGGCGATTACCAGGCATATACCTTCGTGAAAATTTATCAAGCTGAATCCTTAGGAAGGTCTGCTGTTCCTGGATGTGAGCTAGGCATCAATTAAAGGGGGAAAAATTCAAGAACCGTGCAGTGGTGGGAAGATGGAGATGAAAGCAGAGCTCCAAGATTTGTTGCAACTGGGCACAGAATTAGCTCTGAGCTTCTTGGCAGCCAAGACAAAAAGGGGCCCTCATCAATGGCACCGTCCTCATTCACCCGGAGGCCCAAGGTTTCCCCAGCAGGAGTGCTAAGGGGAACACGTCCCAGGGCAGTGGCACCGAGATTTGCCCCAGAGCTGGCTCTGCCAGGGGAGCCTGCCACAGCGGGGCTTCTGCTCCTCCCCACTCCACAGGGTACCAGAAGCTGCTGAAGGACATGGAGGAGGGCCTGATCACCTCGGGGGACTCCTTCTACATCCGGCTCAATCTGAACATCTCCAGCCAGCTGGATGCCTGCTCCATGTCCCTGAAGTGTGACGATGTCGTGCACGTACGAGACACCATGTACCAGGACAGACATGAGTGGCTGTGTGCGCGGGTCGACCCCTTCACAGACCACGACCTGGACATGGGCACCATACCCAGCTACAGCCGGTGAGGCAGGCACTGGAGTGGGCCGAGGGGCCACGGGGGCACCGAGAAAGAGCACCTGTCCTCTCGGAACAGTCAGGTCCCCACTCCCTCCTCTTCCTTGAAGGCTTCCTTGCTCCCAGGAATGTTGCTCTGAAATCCCATTGTTTCACTAAATCCCAGAGGACCCTCTCAGCTAGCTCAAGACAGCTTGGACAATTTTAGGCTCCTTCTCTTTAGCTGATCCTTTTATTCCCAAAAACTCCTCCCCCCCAAATCATTACCATTTATTTAGCAGTAACTGCCAAAGCCAAGCGCGCACCCCCACCCCCCTCCTCTCCGGTAGACATCCAGGCTTCTGGAAAGGTGCCATAGCCAGTGCTGTCAGAGTCCAGCCATGCAAGGGCCAGCAGGCCAATCTGTAGACCAGGAATCAGGCTCAGAGACGTGGGGGACTGCCACAGCATCACCAAATGTCAGCGGCAGAGGAAGACAAGCAGCGTGCCCCGGGGCCCATTGCTCACATGTGTACAGGGTCTCTCCTCCTCCCCCGCACAGGCCTGAGACCCCATCCCTGCATCCCTTCTCCCCTCCCCAGAGCCCAGCAGCTCCTGCTGATCAAGCTGCAGCGCCTGATGCACCGGGGCAGCCGGGAGGAGGCTGACACTGGCCACCACACCCTGCGGCCACTCCGGGTAAGTCACCCAGTGGTCAGCTCCAAAGCACCACTGGGGCCTTTTTCGGAGGGCCACAAGTGGAAACCATTAATCTCATTGGGACGATGGACTGCAGTGGGCTTACTTCCTCAAGAAGGGGTCGCCCCACCCACAGAGGCCCCCTCTGGGCCTTCCCCACCTCTGGCCTCAGCCCTCCCCGCCGATGTCCACATCCCTGGTTCCTGGCTGCCTGGTTGCACTCACGTGTCCTACCATGTCCAGCCTGGTCTGACTGATTGACAAACTGATTTCAGAACACGCTGCAGCCCGAAGAGCCACTTTCCACCAGTGACCCTCGGGTCAGTCCCCGCCTCTCTCGAGCAAGTTTCCTCTTTGGCCAGCTCCTGCAGGTAAAGCTCTCCAGAGAGTCTACTGACTTTTCAATCTCATGTTACGGCAGCTCTGCCCTCTGCCTCCGGAGAAGAGAAGGTTGTGTCAAAATAGCACTGCTTTGTGTTTGTATCCCACTTGCAACTTTTCACAGAGCCTCACATCTCCCATCCCATTTTATCCTCACAATGACAGGTCGGTAGACAGTCTCTGCACCTGTTGGAAGCGAACCCTGCTTTCATAAAAGATGTGAGGAAACTTATGACTAGAAGAACTTAAACTTGCTGTTAAAATATTAATAGAAAAATCAGAAACAGTGTATCAGCAGAGATAAACAAACTTTCCAGATACCCAGGTCAATTTGACCCCTGGGATTGAGCACTAAATTTATCTCTGAGCATCCCAGCAGCCAAGGGAAAAAGGGAAACTCAGTGAAGTCTTTAAATCTTATCTGACCACAGAAACATTTTAGCTATTTGGGACTGGAAAGAATTTTGCTTTGTACTTAATTCTAAAAGGGTATATTTTTTGGCATGAAACATTATACAAGGAACATTAAATAGCACAGTGGGTGATATCTTGAAAAGTGATTTCACATAAATGCAAAAGCATTCTGTGTGGCCATGATCTGTCACCAGTTGACAAAAGGTAAGGAAGTAATACTGGCATGTAGCCCTATGAGCATGTCCCTGTGTGGGTGCTGTGCTGATTAGCCCCCCGCAGAAATAGTTTGGCATTCCACTGCTCTGTCCTGATGTTGGGACTCAGGAAACCCAAGGAAATGTCTCGATGGTATGATAAAGCCCAGAACAGGTAGCAGAATGTCACTTACACAGAGGAAGGGAACACTGGGAAGACTAAGTTACTCCTGAAGGCAGGGTCTTGGGCAGCCAGACATCCCTGTGTGAGAGTCTAACACCTTGAGCATCTGGGCGATGCAGAGGCTGGTTGGCCACAGAGTCAGGCTGAAACCGTGGGTTGTCTTCCCTATGGGAGGAAGGCATGGAGAGACTCAAAGTAGCCTAAGGTATATGGTGGGAACCTGGGTTCTGGGCCCACCACTGGATATCCCTGGCTCATAGAAGGGAGCACGGCGCCCCCAGAAGACACAGAAAAGCCAAGGCAGGGAGTAGGGGGCAGGACTTTGGCAGCTATGCAGCTCAGATCCTAGAGAGTCAGCAGGTGGAATTGCTGAGGGAGAGCTCCTGACCAGCCTCCAGCAGGCCTCACACCCTCTTGGAGAAGAGAGCGTGGTTGGTTGTTTACTTACCTATCTGCTAATGGCATCTCCCAAGCAAGGCCTCACGTGACCTGCTAGTCACCTCCTGTTTTCACGGGGGACATCACTGACCCAGGGCAGGTCCCAGGGGGCTGGGAGAGCTGGGATTGAACACGTCTTCAGCCCGCCCCATCTGGGTCAAGCTAGGAGCCAAGCAGGAGAAGCAGCCCCCTCCACCTGCTCGGTCCTCTAGTTCGTCAGCAGGTCTGAGAACAAGTACAAGCGGATGAACAGCAGCGAGCGTGTCCGCATCGTCTCGGGGAGTCCGCTGGGGAGCCTGGGCCGGTCCTCGATGGATGTCACGAAGCTCCTGACTGAGAAGCAGGAAGACATGGCACTGAGCGCCACCCTCGGGCCTGGGGGCCGCAGAGGTCTGGGGAGTCATGAGGGTTCTGGGGAAGGGAGACTGGGATTTCTGCCCCCTCAAAAGGGAGAGTGCCACCAGGAAAGGCGCCAGGGGGTCTGTCCAGCCTCATCTGGGAGGACCAGACAGCCTGCAGGGGTGGCATCCCTGCCAGGCTTACCCATAACGAACGCTCACGGTAGCCAGTTTGAGCCCAGATGCCTTTGTTAATTGGAGCCGTTTGCTGTGAAATGTTTCCTTATTGATTTCTCTCCCCACTGAGTGCCTCTTGCCATGTATCAAGCAGGCGAGAGGCTTGTCCCCACTCCGTAAGGGGACTAGACACGGCTGCTCACTGTCCTCAGGTGCACCCTTCCCTCGCCCGTCTGCTGTTGTCCAGCTCCTACTGGGCCCCTCCTCCGAGCAGCCCTCCTTGACTATCCTGCTCCAAGCCCCTTTCCTGAGGACTCAGCAGCATCTGAAGTGACCAGTCTGCTTCTTGCCCGTGGCATGTCTGCCTCCCGCCGCCACCACCCTTCCTACCCTGTGAAGCTCCAGGAGGCAGGCTGCCTTGTGCTTTTCTGCCATCACACACCTCCCTGGGCAGGGCTGGCCAGCAGTTACTTTGCAGATGATTCCTCAGCCTTGTGCCACACCCACTGAAAAGTTTTCAAGGCTCTGTGGGGTCAAGGCAGCAGGTGGCTCACAGCCAGCCTTTTCCTGTCCCCTCCCAGAGCTGGACCCTGACAGTGAGCTCGGCAAGAACCTCAGCCTGATCCCCTACAGCCTGGTGCGTTCCTTCTCCTGCCAGCGCCGCCGGCCCGTTCTCTTCACACCTACCATGCTGGCTAAGACGCTGGTCCAGAAGCTGCTCAACTCAGGGGGTGCCATGGAGTTCACCATGTGTAAGCCAGGTGAGTGCCCCACAACTGCTCCAGGGAACCCCCCACAACCCCGCTCTGTGCAGGAAGGAATGGCTGTGCAGCCTCCTGGCCTGCTGTGGACAGCAAGGGAGTTTGCCAATCACATTTCTATCCCCCTCCTCTCGAGGCACAGGGGCCCTCATGAAACGCTCCAGGAGGCAGGGATGACAGGCCTTCCTTTCCCCACTTGCCCTGAGGGTGACCTTGAAGGCCACAGTGTCATCCAGTAGACTCAAGCTGGGACCCACACTCTGGACCGTCACGTGAAGGCAACCCACCCCCATAGCTGGGGGCGAGAGGGGACAGCTGTAATACCAGCCTCTCAGGCAGAGTTCTGGGCCCAGGCCTGGCTGTGCACTAGAATCAGCCTCAGCAGCGTCTGCATTAGTACTCAGTGTCCAAGTCCACCCTGACCAATGGACTGCCCAGCAACCAGAGTAATTTTTCATTGTGGTAAAATAAGCATAAAGGTAATCCTTATCATTAGTCAAGTGTACCCTCCAGCGGCACTAAGTACATTCACATGCAACCATCACCACGTCCGCCTTCAGGACTTTCCCTCTAACGAAAACAGCACCTATTACACATTCGTCTGCCTCCTCCTCAGTCCCTCCCCACCCCGAGTAGCTGCTGTTCTACTTTCTGTGTCTATGAACTTGACCCTGGGAACCATAGTGCGGGCTCCCACAAGCTTGCCCTTTGTGCCTGGCTTCTTCACCTAGTGTGACGGCCTCAAGACTCACCGCATTGAAGCATCTTAATAGCAGAATGTCCTGTTCGTGGCTGAATAGTATTCCGCTGTGTGAGTGGGCCACGTTCGGGGTACCCATGCATCCACTGATGGACATTTTCACTGCTTCCACCTACTGGCGAGGGTGACCAGTGCTGCTGTGAACCTGCCTCCTAAGTTCCTGCTTTCACTTCTTTTGGGTGTGGACTCAGAAGTGGAATTGCTAGGTCATAGGGTTATTCTGCTTGTTGTTGTTTATTTTAAACCGCTACCCCCTTTCCATAGCAGCTACACCATTTCACATTCCTGCCAGAGTACACCAGGGCTTCCCTTTCTCACATCCTCACCAACAGTTTCTTTTCCGTTTGATTTGTCAACAGTAGCCACCGCAAAGGGTGTGAAGGAGAGGTGTCAAGATTTTAAATCTACTTTTTGCAGCACAGTTTAATACAATGACAGGCCCCCAGTGCAGCCCAGCAAGTTTGGGCAAAGCAGACACCCAGCAGCCACTCCACAGCCAGGACACAGAACACTGCATCCCTCCAAGTTTCCCTGTGCCCCTCGCTCCAGCCCCCGGTCCCAGGCATCAGTTGATCTGCTTTCTGTCGCTCAGTTTGCGTTTTCTACAATGTTCTATAAAGGGAATCATGGGGTCTGGCATCTTCTGTATCTGGCTTCACGCATGCTGTTGCTCCTGGTGCTGAGCAGCATGCTGCTAGTTTTCTCGGACCTTCCTGCTGGCTCTTCCGTGGGGCCACGTCTGTGGCCCAGCCGTGATCAGCATTCCCTACCGTCCGGGCCCAGATCAGAACCCCGTAAGCATGAGCCCCTGCTGCTGTTGCTTACCTTTATCAGGGAGCCCTCACACCTGTGATTCCCAGGTGAACAAGTTCTAGCCGCTGCTGAGCTCTCCAGGGACGCCACCTGCACCCCACCATGTCCCATCATCTGTAGCTTAGGCCCCGACAGCCACACCCAGGAGGGCTGCAGCAGGCAGCACAGCTGGCTGGAAGGACCAGTCATGCTCTCTGAGGTCGTCTTCAGTTCAGCCCTGTCCTGCCCCTCCCCGTCTGCTGTATCCTTTGGGGCAAGTAAGCCTCTGTGTCTCTTCACTTGCAAAGCCGGATAATGGCAGCTGCTTCCACAAAGGCCAGGGCTCATGGATGGACAAAGGCTGCCCAGGGAGGGGAAGCAGGGGGACCCCACACCTCCCTGAGCACCCACCTCCTTTCTTGGCATGACCGTCCCAATCCTCCCAAGTCCAGCTGTGGGACACAGAAACCTTTGGAGCTTGTGCACATCTATGGCCTTCTACCAACTGACCCCTGGGAAGCAACAAACCCCTAGGGAGGCTCCAGGAGAAGGGCCTCACCGCTGCCTGGGTGCCGAGACTTTCAGCTAGTCCGGCTGGGTGATGAAAAGCCTGCTTTGGGGATCCCCCTTGCCACCTGAATTGACATGCCCATTCCCCCTGGGTGCACTCACAGCTGGGTGGCCTGCAGCCTTCCTCCTGCCCCCCAGAACACCAGGGCTGCTCCCCTGCTAGCTTTCCTCAGACCCCTCCCAACCCCCTGCCTCATGTGCTCTCTGAACCTGAGCCCTGCTCCTCCAAGCCAGCCTGGACCTGCCTAGGTAATTCCACTCATGGATTTACTCTGTCTTCCTCTTTCGTGGGGAATCTGGGACCCAGAGAGGGTCAAGACTTGTTGAGGATCACCCGGCCAGCAAATGGGGCCTCTCCTACACACCTCCTCCTCCAGGTAGCCTACCTGCTTCCCTCCCTCCGCACACTTTGTCAGTAGGTCATCACTGAACCTCCCACATTGTTCTACAGTTATCTGGTTCCACATTCTTCTGCCAGCTAGGTCATAGTTTTTCAAGTACAACATACATGTTTTTATCATATTTTTTATTTCTAATGCCTGATCCTTAGTAGGTTTCTGAGAACTGTCAAATTAAGTCAGTGGCTGGGAGGATGGATCATGGCTAGATGGATGGGCGGCTGGGCAGGTGGGTGGGTGGAGGATGGATGGGAGGGTGGTGGATAGCTGGATGGAGGGAGGATGGATGGATCAATCGATCAGTGGACGCTGGGCTGTGGATGAGTGGAGCGGGAGGGAGAGTCCACACCGTGGGTGATGACGATCAGTATGGCACCACAGTGCCTGAGATACTTTGTCCAAGCAAATGACTTCCTGAAAGCCAAACCACAAGTAATTACTTGCCAGCTACTCTTGAGCTGCCATGGGAGGTATGAAAAAGTGTGACGTGGATCCTGACCTTTGGGAGACTCTCAGTCTAGCAGCGGAGACAAGATTCATTTGCACGTGGCAGAACGACACCAGGCATTGCTTTCTTCCTGGCCAGAGAGGGCAGGCAGGGCTTGGCGAGACGAGCCACCCGAGACCACTCTGTGCCACCCTCACAGCCTGCCCCCCTCTCGGCAGATGTTGTCACGAGAGACGAGTTCCTCAGAAAGCAGAAGATGGAGGTCATCATCTACTCCCGAGAGAAGAACCCCAATACCTTTGAATGCATCGTTCCCGCCAACATCGAAGCTGTGGCGGCCAAGGTGAGAAGACCCACCAGGAGCCTGGACAGGCCGTGACGCCCTCCCCACTATCTTTGGGAGGCCACCTCAGCCGTGGACAGTGAAGGGTCTCCCTTCCCGCTGGCCAAACCTTTCCCTTCTTCTGTGCTTCTCCGCCATGTAGCCTCCCCCTCCACGCCCTCGTGCTCTCGCTGTGACGTGCGTTTATGTGAGACCGCCTTCTATTTCTGATGGCTTCCCGGCGCTGGTGTCCTAGTTCGCATTGTTTATGGATATGCATGTGTCTAGCTGCGATAACAAGGGCCAGAGATAGAGAGCAAATGTGTCAGACAGAGAGACAAGGGGTGACAGGTACCGTGTCGGCCAAGTGAAGGAAATGGGGCAGCATCAGAGGGCTGGGCTGTGGGCAGCAATGCAAGGAAGGTGTCTGCATGCACTCTGGAGTCTTCTGGAGCCAGGGGGTGGGCGCCCTATCTTCCCTCAGTACAGAATTCTTCTCATTCTAGGACTTCATGAAAGCAAAGCTCTCAGCCGGTAGCAGATGGGTGCTGCCCCAGAGGCTAGGGCCAGCTCACAGGGGAAGTGTCCTTGGGGATGGCAGGAGCAGGTGCCAGCCGGAACACCTGCTGATGGTCACCCCGCCCCTCCCCACCTTGTCACTTTGCAGATGAAGCATGGGCAGAGCTATCAGTCTTGAACAGGGTGCTTGTTTTCAAAGCCTGAGACATAGCAGTTTAGAGAATCCTGACAGCTGGAGTGGATAGAAAATGAGTAGGCAGGGTGGGAGCTGAGATACTTTAGCTGAAAAGATGCCATCCACGAACCTGTGCTGTTAGAAGCCTGGGTCATGCCTTACTCGGCAGGGACAGGTGCAGTGACCAGAAGGCTCTGGAGCTGGTTATTTCTACCTCTGAACCTGGGTGCTAGCTCTGAACCCAGTAGGCTGGGTTTGTGAAAATCCGCTGAGCTGTGTGCTCAGAGACTCATGCACCTCTGTATTCTGTGTGTTCTGCTTCAGCGCAAAGGTGGCGTCGCAGCAGTAAACAGGCTCAGCACTGACACATGGGTTCATTGCGGGTTCGGGCAAATGGATAAAGGAAACTCAGAGCCCTTAGTAGATTGGACAGGCCTGAAGCAGGGACAAGGTACAGGCGGCCAGTGAGCAGGAAGGCGTGAGGGCGGCTGGGGCCTGGAGCCCGAGGTCTCTGAGCTGGCTTGCTCTCTCTCTCTCTCTCCTCTCTCTCTCCTCTCTCTCTCTCTGCGTCCCACCTCCCCCATAACCATCTTTGTGAAGACCTCTGCTCCGGGCAGCCACACCTACACGCACCTCCAATGTCTCGTGCCCAACGCTCCCGCTCCCAAGCACTGTTTGCATTAACACGATATCACGTGCGGGTGACGCCACCTGGGAGGGGAGCAAGGCCACAGGTGGTGGCCACGAGGCTGGTGGCGAGAAGGCCCACAGAGCCCAGCCCCTCCATCTCCCCTACGGTGCTGAGCTTTCCGCGTGTTTATTTTTAAAAAGCAGGACCGGAATTGCTCTCCAGAAGCGCAGAGCTCACGGAGCAGGGACTCGTGCTTAGGACACGTGCAGGGCTCGCGGCCCCTCGCCGCCCCTTACCAGGAAGCCTCCATAGGCCAAACAGGGGAGCAGGTGTTGTTGACTCCCACTATGATTTTTACTAAAGCTCATTTGCGCCACCTGCCTCACCTCCGGCTGGGTCCCTGGGCTCTGCCAGCACTCACCTCCGTGCCGGCAGAGTGGAGCGAAGCGTCCTAGGGCCAGGCGGGGCCCAGCTGTCCCTCGGGTCCAGGGTCCCCTTGGGCCATTCATACTACGGAATGAATCTGTGCTGTTAGACGCCTGGGCCGTGCCTGCGCAGGCAGGGAGGGGGTGCAGGGACTGGAAGGCTCTGGACAGGCTGTTTCTACTTCTGGCTAATTTCACCAGTAGGTTCAGTTTGTGAACTGGTTCCACAAGAGACTCTTGCCCTCGTCTCTGTGCCAAGGAGACTGACCCTGAATCTTGAGCTGCCCCAGGCCCCACATGGGCTGGAGGAGGCCTGCTGCTGACCGCTGGCCCCTGTGCTTACAGAACAAGCACTGTCTGCTGGAGGCGGGGATCAGCTGCACGAGAGACTTGATCAAGTCCAGGATATACCCCATTGTGCTCTTCATCCGGGTATCAGAGAAGAACATCAAGAGGTTCAGGTAGGGTTCCCAGATCCGTCCTCTCCCTCCTGCCCTGACAGCCTCTGGGTTCTGGCCAAGGAAGGCCTTGGCTGGTCCTCCCCACCCCCCATCTACACGGTGACTCTTTCTTGCATGGTGAGGACAAGTGCTGAGAGGGACAGTGGGTGCTGACGGATGCAAGCTGTGAAGGGAACTGAAAGTGGAGCATAGGGGTGAGGTGGCAGGTGCTAGGGGAGAGGTGTTCTGGGTAGAGGGGCAGTTGCCAGACCCCGAGGGGAGACAGGCTGTGGGAAGGGCAGAGCCATGACAGTTGACCTTGCAGCTCAGGGGAGACCAGGTCATGCTGGGCCTTGTGGGCCACAGGAAGGGTGGGGTGGTTTATTCTGAGATGGGAGCCACTGGAGCTTTTGAGTGAAGAAGTGACCTAATCTAACTTGGGGGTAAATGACTCCCTCGCGCTGCTGTGGTGAGACAGGAGCTCTGATACCCTGGCGAGAGGTGGTGATTCTGGGACCTGGTCCTGTCTGGAGGGCAATGAAAAGAGATTCAATTCAGGTCCATGTCCAAGGTTGAGTCTGTGTGATTTGTCGAATGGTTGGCTATGGAGTTTGATAAGAGAGGAAACCACGTGACACTGAGTATGGCTCTGACGTACGTGGCATGACCTCTGACCCCTGCCTTCCTTGCACGAGACAGCATCTGGGACTAGAATTTGTGCCCCTCCATTATTTCACAAAATATTTACTGAGTATCTAATGCCAGCCCCGAGGAACCCATGAATGAGCAAGTGAGGCAAAAACACCTACCTCGCACCACATTTATTCTGACAGTTGCATCTCAAAAAACAGAAAAGAAGAAATGCTGGTGAGGATAGGGAGAAATGACTCCTGACCCACTGTGGTGTGAATATAAAATAGTGCAGGTGCTATGAAGATGGTATGGTGTTTCCCCCCCAAATATTAAACAGATCAAATGATGAAGTACCCCTCTTCTGGGTATATGCCCCAAATGATTAAGGGATACTTGCACAGTTTTGTTTTTAGTGCACTATTCTGAGCAGTCAAAAGGAAAAAGCAGCCCAAGGATCCACAGGTAGATGACCAGATAAATTAAATGTGATCTATACATCCAGTGGAATATTATTCACCCTCTAAAAAAGAAGAAAATTCTGTCACATGCTATAGCATAGATAAACCTGGAAGACATCCTGCTAATTGAACAAAGTCAGTCAGAGAGAGACAAGTATGTGTTCTTGTGTGAGCTTCCTAGAGGAGTCAGATTCATCAAGACAGAAAAAAGGGAGCTGGGTGCCAGGGTCTGGGCAAGGAATAGGGAATTCTTGTGCATGGGCATAGAATTTTCAGTTTCACAAGAAGAAAAAGTCTTGGAGATTGACTGTGTGGTGATGTGATATTCAGTATTACTGAATGGTACATTTAAAACTGGTGAAGATGATAACTTTTATTTTATATGTACTTTACCATATCTAAAAGTTTTAAGACATTTTTTAAAATCTACACTTCCTGGGAATTCCATAGTGAGCAGAATTAAAAAGGACAATGTATTTAATGTGCTAAAAAACAAGAGATGCTATGGAGAAGCAAAGCAGTTGGTGGTCCAAGGAGAATGGGGGTGGCCCCTCTGTAGGGTGCCCAAGGCTCTCTCAGGGGGCGGGCAGACCAGCCTTTGTCCTGCACCATGGGGTCTAGCCCAGCCCCTCGCTCCTGCCTGCAGGAAGATGCTGCCTCGGCCTGAGACAGAGGAGGAATTCCTGCGGCTGTGTCGGCTAAAGGAGAAGGAGCTGGAGGCCCTGCCATGCCTGTACGCCACGGTGGAGGCCGACATGTGGAGCAGCGTGGAAGAGCTGCTCCGAGTCATCAAGGACAAGATCGCAGAGGAGCAGCGCAAGACCGTCTGGGTGGATGAGGACCAGCTGTGAGGCAGGGCACCCCTGAGTCCAAGTGCGACTCGGGACGGATGTCAGGGCCCCACTGGGTGATGCCATGGGGAGGAGGAGGCATCCTGCTGCTCCCAGAGCTGCCCCAGCCTGGGGGGATTCATCCTACCCAGTTGTGGAGCCGCTCCAAGGAGCGCCCGGGAGCAGATGCAGCTGTGGGGGTGCTCAGATGGAGCAGGGAGCAGTTTGTTCCACCCAGGGCTGCCCCGGGATTAGCCGGGAGGTAGAGCTAAGGACACAAAGCCAGGCCAGGGCCAGCCGGCCCCTCAACGCCAGAACAGCAGTTGGATGTAACTCATGGAATAGGGGTACTATCTATCGGATGGGAACCCTGAGAGCCAGGGCAGCCGCCAGCCCAAAGACACGTGATAGGCACATTCCCAGGCAGGACAGATCGGGAAGGAAGGAGAAGTGTGTCCTGCTACTATTTTTCTTGCATTAAAACCTCCCCATTTCCTTGTTTTCAATCTTTTTGTAAAACTGTAATCATTTGCAGGTTTTCAGCTCTTGCCACCTTCCTAACCTGCAGAGCACTCCCAGAAAGCCTCGTTCAGGCCCTGGATCATCTGTAAGGGGAGGGAGGGTGACATACATCACAACTTCCCAGGACAGGCCTGATACACCTGGCTTTGAGGCATAATTACTATGACACCCTATGACTACGATGCCTCTTGGTTTGGATAGTTGCCTAGCAGCCCTGGAAAGCACCTGTCCTTCCTCAGGCAGCCTGGGAGGCCTTGCTGTTTATGCACCTGCATCTCCCAACCCAGCCCTAGGCCAGGCCCCATAGCTCTCCTTCCCCTTGTCTTTCAGTATGTAGAGTTCTGCACGCAGACTCGCTTCATTCTGGCTCAGGAGGGACCTCGTGGTAGGGCCCTCTGCTGGGCTTGCTCCCACTGCCCGCTAGCTGGGGACTGCAAACAACTACACTTCTCACACAGCGGACAGCAAAGGCCAAGGGTCCTGGCACCATTCTTCTCCTTGACTTCCTTGATGCGTGCTTTCCAGGTCTGCACCCAATAGGACATAGCTTAATCCAGGCCCAGCCCAGCCCAGCCTGACACCATGCTGACTATCCAGCAGGATGTGGGCAGCAGGCAGGGCCCAGTCTTAGTTCTCTGTGTCCATGGGAACAGTTGCTAGTTGACAATCCAATATCCACTTTCCTCTCTACTACTGGAATCCAGATTCTACTACCAGAATCCAGTTTCCCAGCTTCTGCGAAACTGCACAACTACTTTCCCAGGCTCCTTTGCAGCTAGAGTAGTCAAAGAAATGTAAGGAAAAGGTTGGGGCAAGAGACAAAGCAGAAGACCATCCCTCCTCCTGTTTTGCACCTGGAATGCAATGTGATAGCTGGAGCTCCAGCAGTCATAACGGATCTTGAGGTGGCCTTGAGGATGGAAACCCTCTGCAGAGGATGGTGGAGGATCAAGAGAGAAGCAACCAGCCACTGATGACACTTTGGAGACCGTGACTGCTGCTGGTTTCTTGCACATGAGACCAAAATAAATTTTTATCATGTTAAGTGACACATTTCAGTTCTCAGTTCTTAGCAGCCTAGAACAATTCCTTGCAGACATAGGAACAACTCTTTCCATTATAATTTTAGAACCAGGATAGGAGTTGGTTGTGTGGAAGGTATTTGCCACTTACTCAAGAGATGAGTTATTAATAAAAGATCTCAATAAATTAAAAAAAAAAAAAAAACAAGAGTAATATACACCTATTGTATTTTCTAGCATTTCAACCCCCTTGGAGCTCAAATTAACACCACAAAGCCCCAGAAGTTGCTAGGGGGAACCTGAGACCCTTGGAGGGGCCTGGTCCTGCCCTCCCTCTGTGACTGCCCATCTCTACAGGCTCAAGATCTGAATTTTCCAGGAAGGACAAGGCCTTTAAAATGAAGCAGCCCTTCCAAAGGCCACTTAGCAAAGCCTCCTGCTCCAAAACAGCCCCGAGAAACAAGTTGGGTGCACTGGGTCTAAAAAGCCCGTGAGTCAGAGGTTCAGCAATGCTTATTAAGGCCCAGCGAAGCCACCACGGGAGATGTGGAGTCGAAAGGTCTTCTGCTTCCCTCTTGTTCGAGTTTTAAGTTAAACAGTAAATTTTCCTCAAGCAAGGCAACTGTGCTCCGCTCAGAAACGCTGCTTCCTTGTAAAGTACTTAGAGCCAAGGGGACAGACGTGACTGGAAGAGAGGCCCAAGTACAGGGCCTGCTGGGTTATTTATATTTATTTAACTTAAGAATTCTCAGGTTGACGGGCAGAACAACCAAACTCATGACTTGCATATAATTATGGGGAGCAAAGGAGAAATGGGCACAAGGTGAGGAAAGCATCTGAACAGAACTTGTGAGGGAGGTGGGCAGCTGGTGGGCACTTTACCCAGGCTGCGAACTCAGGCAGTGGGAAGTGCATAGGCTGGTAAGATGGGATGGGAAGGAGAGAGGTCAGGAATGAAGGCTGTGGGCCCTTGCTCCCTGGATGAAACGGGCAAGTCGGCAGGAGGCTCGGGCTTGGCACAGGGGAACCCATCCACAGCAGCCTTTCAGAAGAGACCCCTGACACCGTCTGCTCTAGCTCAGGGCTCCTGCTTGTCAGCCACCCGCACTGGGACCCCTGTGGCGGCCTAGGAAGGAAGGTGGCTCTGAGCAGCTGGGCAGTGTTAGGAGGACTTTACTGAGCTCTCTGCAAAGCCCAGCTGTGGCTCGAGTGAGCACACCAGGGTCTACAGACTGAATTGTTCCCTTGGAGCCAGACCAGGGCTCAGGCAGCCTGCTCCAAGACGCACACTGGGATGGATGCCTGCACCACAAGCCCGGGCCCCAGGCTTTCGGGGGCAGCCTGTGCCAAGCTGATAACACCAGTGACGTAGGCCTGGTCTACCTCCAAGGACACCAGCCATGCCACTCAGAACCCTGGAGATCATGTTGTACGTGTAGCCCTACACTTTACTGAGGAGAAAATCCTGACTTCCTTAGACGCGCTAGGGGTTCTGTAATCCCCAGAAGATTAAATACTGTTGCTCTTGGTCTAGGCAAATATGAATTTTTTTTTTTTTAGCTCCTATTCTGTGCCAAGCACTTTGTAAATGTATTTTATTTCCTGTCCCCCAAACGCTTCTCTGTCTTACAGAGGAGCAGATAGAGGGTCAGAGAGGCCAAGTAATTTCACCAAGGTCACACGGGAGGTAAGCTGGACCTCTGCCCAGGTCTGGCTGATTTGCCACCTAAGGTCTGAGTTGGATCTTCAGTCAGAGGGTGCTACCTAGGGTCTCGGCGACAACAGTCTGGCCTCAGCTCTGCTCCTCCAGTGGCGTCTGGGTTGGTGATTGGCTTAGGACCAGAAAACAGGATGATGGTGGAGAGGATGTGAATGTCCTCTCCAGCATAGCCTGAGCAGACCTTGACCTACTAAATCAGGTCATGATTCTGGGAAATGCTACCTCATCCAATCCAGAAAAGGGGCTACTTTTCTGGAATGGGAATCAAAACTAAGGGGGGAAACATCTTTGAACCTTGGCACCATGCCATCATACCACCCTCAAAACCCACCACATCTGCTGGCCTCATTCTCCTGTGTGTCTATAGGGTGGGTGTTCATCTTCCAGCCTGCCTTGCTCACTCCCTAGAGTTGTCTTTGGTACTCATGCCAAGATTCACCAGGGTGCTATGATGCTTGATGTGAGGCTGGTCCCCAGGACCTGCTCCCAGGCCTTTTGGCCCCCAGGATGTCCTACAGAGATTCTGTCTATGTTGCAACAACAGCAGCTCCAGCACTGGCCTCAAAATCCCCGCCCTTTCAATTCCTGAGGGCTTCAGAGGAAAGCCAGACTGAGCCCCAAGAGAAATGCTATGTACCTTGGCCCCCACTTGCATCCCCATTTCTTGGGCATCTGCCTGTGATGTGCCACAGTAGACAAGACACAATGGCCCATGTGTGCTCTGTCCCAAACAGAAGACTCACCTCCTGCCCCTACCACTGAGAAAGACCTCATGAGGTTGCAACAGATAAAGGAGGCCACAAAGTCTTTGACCCCACCTTCCATAGAGACTTGGGATTATTTCCCTTCCCCTCAATTCTTGGATGACTTTGAGAAGGCTGGCAGCTCCCGCATCATCAGTGTCTCTGAAAGCCCTACGCTGGCCTGTTAGCAGCAGGAGAAACCACGTGGGGAGGCCCCACACCAGCAAAGAGAGGGGAGGGGTCTGCTGGGCCAGACCCCCGAAGTTCCCTCAGGCATCCAGCAGGTGGTAGGGACCAGCTCCATGCCCAAGGCCCACCCAGTCACCAGCAGGGTGACCCCAAATGATATCAAGTAGAGCAGAAGGTAAATCCTGCCCACAGATCTGAGATGCAATAACGCTCAAGACTTGTCTTAAGCCACTAAGTTTTAGGATCATTTATTACCTATCAGTAGCCCCCTGGAGTAGGGACATAGTGATTAAAGCACCAAACTCCCAGCCACCAAAGCTGGGTCTTCACCCTGGACAAGCCACGGGCCTGCCGTGTGAGCCAGGCAAGTAGCTTGACCTCTCGGAGACTGTGTTGCCCCCTCTGTTGGTAGAGGTGGCTGGCTGACATCCAGGATAGGGTGTCTCCAGTCTGAGTGGCATCTTCAGTGTCCCTGACCGCTTGAGAAAATGCTGCCGATCTGAGACCTGCAGTGTGACAGAGCAGGGGAAGGGGGCAGCTCTTCCGGCTCGGAGTCTAATAATTCCTTTCCCATCTCTGCTGGAAACCTAGGGTCGCTACTCTCCATGCCCCTGCCCCACTTTCTCTAATTTTGCCAAGTTGGGGTGCATCTGAGGGTTCTTCCCAGGGTACATTCTAACCATTTCCGGTGAGCTTTGTTTCTATCTGACAGCCTAGGGCCACAGAAATCTCCAGAAACGATGGGGGCTGCTCCAACTGAGGTTGAACCCTCCCTTTTAGTTTCAGTTTCAAATTCCAGCACCCTAAACTGAAAGCAACAGGAAG